AAGTCATTAATACTACGCTCATTCATTTTTGCCTATAGTGGAAATTTATTCATAGGGTACATACCTATATCACCTCGATGTATGAAAATATAGACTCTCCGCGAGCTACTAGAGGGATAAAGCCCAGCCCATCAATTAGCAGTACCGCGCATCCGCAGTTAGCCGAGGGTTTGCACTTTAGTGCTTTTCATTTTAGCTTGTTTTCTTGTAAATTGGCTTGTTTTCATGTAGTTTCTGTAAAATTCGAGGTGTATATGGTAAATCAGAAACCTTGTTTTGGGCCAAATTGTGGTATAAAAATAATAAAACCATACAAACGTGCGCAATGTGAATTAGTGACGAACATAAATTTTCTGGGGTTAATTACACGAAGAATTCCTATCCTGCTGTGTGATATAAATCAAGGAACATGTAGAATATTATGAAAGGTTATTATGCTGTACATTGTGTATGTACTGTACAGGTCCAGTCATTACAATGGCCACTCCCACTGAACTGGAGGAAGGGGAAGGATATACCCACTGGTAAGTTACGGTGGGCCTCTGCAGTTGTCATCAATGGAATGGTGTACTGTGGAGGTACTGATGTCATTCAGTACAATCCAGAGAGTTGTGACTGGAGTGAGCTCCCCAGATCTCAAGTGGAGGGCTTTGCTGTGACCTCACTCAATGGTCAGCTGGTACTAGCTGGTGGTCTAGCTGGTGATCTTATCACAGTGTGGGACAGTGGTAGTAGTAAGTGGGTCCATCCTTACTCTCCCATGCCTACTCCACGAGCATTTTCAGCTGCTGTGGGCTACCAGAACTATCTCATAGTAGCATGTGGGTTCTATCATAAGAGTGAAGTAGAGGTGTTGGACAGCTCCAGTGGTAGATGGTACAGTGCAGAGCCAGTACCTGTGGGGGGTCATAGGATGTCTTCAGTAGTGGTAGGTGATCGCTGGTACTTGTCCTCATTTGAGGGGTGGGAGGATAAGAAGGAACACATATTCTGGGCCCATCTCCCCACTCTGACATCCAGTGCTACATCAGCTCACACTACCACTGAACGCATTTGGCATGAGCTGCCCACACCTCCGGTAGAATGGCCCACCCTATTAGCCCTCCAGGGACACTTGCTATTGGTAGGAGGGTTGGGGTATGTACAGGAGATCCATCGCTATGACCAAGAGACTAGACAATGGAGGGTGTGTGGACAATTGCCAGTTGGAATGCTGTATCCATGCTGTACTGAACTACCATCTGGTGACCTGATGGTGGCTGGAGGATATACTGGAGATACTGAGGCACCCTCCAAGAGAATGTGGATAGCTAAGATTTAGAGATCTTTGACATAATATTATGTGTACATGATTTTACTAGAGAAATTTCATTGTTAGACATTGACACTCATTTGCTAAATGCGCATGCGCATAATGTTGAGCGTGCGCGTGCGTAAACTCGCCCACTTTTCCCGGGATTGTTAATAGAGTGAGTGTCACTGGAGAAGAGGGAGGGAGAAGAAGATGGAGGAGGCAGGGAGTACGTCTCTGCGGGCAGAGCTGCAGGTGATACTGGAGGACCCGGCCAACTTCTACAACGTCGTCATGAGCAACAGCGGTGAGGCGCGCGCATAGCTAGCTAGCTAGCTAGCAAACTTGATGGGCGGGGCTCGTATTTCCTGCACGCATCCCGTTTGCTTGCAAAAAGATACTCTTCTTCTTGTTACTCTATCGACAAACGCACACTCATCGCAGATGCGCCCTAGTGGTTGTAGTACGTTAGCATTGTAGCTAAGCGAGCGCCCGAGCGGACTCTTCCACACGTGACGACTTTACGGAGATCATGCGACAACTCAGAGCCAACTATGCAATTATAGACTTGTAGTAATTATACCGCATAATATTATACAGTGTATCTTAGAGGCGTATCATAGCCACGTGGTCTGCAGATATAATATTGCAGAAGTTATAATTATGCATACTCTAGTATAAACAGAGCTGGTTTTGTGGCCTCATTTCATGGCTGAATTATGATACCACCATAAGTGGGAGTTTACACTAGAAATAACCTCTCCCACTCTATCTGTAGACCTCCACTGTAATGACTGCTGCAGTTTTTCCATAGTGTCAATTTAGATTTGTCTCTGACCATATCTACTCTTCCATTCACCATAAAACAGCATAGGCACAGATATTTTAATGAAATCTCCTGATTGTAGGGTTGTCTATATCTTATCACAAGAAGATGTAGCAAGTCACTTGGGCAGTATGGAATATATAGCACCTCGGATATGCCCACAAATTGTCCTTTTCCCACCATTATAACATTCTTGTAACTCTATAAACATTCCTCTCTCTATTTTCAGATCCTCGTGTCAAAGACTGGATGTGGATGCAAAGTGACTGACAGTTTGCAGCTGTTTTCTCTCTCTCTCTCTCTGTTTTCCCTCCTCATCCAGTGGTGTTTTTGAAATTCCACTGTTGGTTTTCTACCCAATGTTTTCCCATCCCCCCACCATTAAGTTTTTCTTCAGCGTTTTCATGTTGTTGCAAGGTTTCTGTGTGTTTGTTGATCGACATAATGCCTGATCGTTTCCTACCATTATTGTTTTCTGTGTGCATTGTTTATTTTCCACTTGTGTTTTGCACTATCATTGTTTCACCCGTCGCGCATGCGCGTGAGTGAATGTTTATATGGCCGTACTTTTGCGGAAGCCCAATAGACAAAATTACTATGATACACGGAGTAAAAGCGACTACTAGCACAGAGATCCGGAAGTTTACTGGTTTACGAGCCCCTCCTTCGCACACAATGGCTGCCCAGTCCTTGGCCGCGTCTTTCCTCCGCGACCATCCCGACCTCCGTCCGTTCTTCCTCTCCTCCGCTCGAGCCACGGGCAGGACCATCGGGTCTGGCTCGTACGGCAGCGTGGAGGAGGTGGCAATTCCAGGAGCCGTGTGCGCCGCCAAGAAGATCCACGACTTTTTCCAAGACCCGAGGCAGATGCCGCGCGAAGGCATCGAGAAAGCGGCGGACGAGTTCGCGCGGGAGTGTCAGCTGATGAGCACCCTCCGCCACCCGCACATCGTCCAGTTCCTTGGCGTGTGTTTCCTGCCCGGCTCGCGGATGCCGGCGCTTGTCATGGAGAAGCTGGCGACCAGTCTCCACGACATTCTGGATCCCCAGCCTCCACCGCGGAACAAACCCTTCGTCCCCATCTCTCTGAAACGCTCCGTCCTTCACGACGTGGCCCGCGGGCTCTCGTTCCTGCACAGCCACTCGCCGCCCATCATCCACCGCGACTTGTCGGCCAGAAACGTTCTCCTGAACGAGGGGATGGTGGCCAAGATAGCCGACATGGGCATGGCTCGCATCTTGCCGAGTCTGTGAGCTTCCACCATGACCAAGGCACCAGGAGCCTCCATCTACATGCCTCCAGAGGCTCTGGAAGACGAATCGAGATACGACATCACGATCGATATCTTTTCTCTTGGAGTTCTCGCAATTTTCACTGTTTCCCAAATGTTTCCAAAACCTCTGGCAGCAGCGTACATGGACAGGAGCAGAAAGATTGTGGGTCGAACAGAGTTGGAGCGTCGTGGCAACTACATGCAGGAGGTGACGAGGCAATTCCGGGAGGGGCATCCCCTTGTCCAAATGATCCAGCGTTGCCTAAACAACATCATCGAAGAGAGACCAACCATCCAGCAAGTGATGGGGTGGCTGGAGGAGGCCAGAGCCGAGGTTGAAGATGGTGAATATGACGTGAACAAACTGTCACTGGCTCAACTGCTGCAGTCCAGAAACCTCAGCATCCAACAACAGCGAATCCAAATCAGCCAAAAAGATGGGGAAACTCGCAGGCTACATGAGCAGAATGAAGCACTGAAACAGCAGAATGATGTTAAAACAGCCCAGGTTGCATCCCTGGAGGAGCAAGTTCAGGCTCTCCGAGCTGGAAAGACACCGATCACGTCGCAAAAGGTTTGTCGTTTTCTTTCACCAATCTTTACCCTATTTTGTATCGCTCTTGTTCCTTCGAGATGAATAAACCCTACTCCATTTTTTCCCCCAACACTCCTTGTTCCCTGGCAACATCACTCTCTTCACTGGAAACAGCCTATGGAAGTTACCTTGTGGCTTGTGATTTACTGTTTTGTTTGCTGGGTGCCTATAAACCAAAGAAAGCGCAGGCTTAGCATGGTCCTAGAACTTTGTTGTGTGAATTCGTATAGTGGAATTTTTCGTAGGGTGCAAAAGTTCATGTATGTTCGTTTATCACCTCGATGTATGAAAACGTCGCACATGGTTTGTATATTTATTATTTTTTTGGTCTTTCGCCAATCTTTACCCCCATTTCTCTCCCTCTCCTCCAGACCACACCCACTCCAAAACAAGCCGTGTCAGGCGCCAGTCCATTCCCTTCTGTAAGACACCTTCTTTTCTGTCCTGATTCCTTGTTAGTGTATTGTGGGTGCTCTACATAATCCATATCCCTGTCTTAGCTAAAATATTATACCAAATTTCCGTCTCTCTTTGAAAAAAGTCTGCCAATTCCCAAAACCTTTCTGGAGCAAGTCCTTCCATTTCAGTATTTACTGAACCCTTAGCCAGCCACAGGCATATTATGCCCAGAGCCTCCATAAGTCCATAAGAATTTATATATGGCTATAATACTAGGCGTCAATATGTTATACATCAATTTATGCTTATTTAAGGAGATATCCATGGTGTCCAAAGGGTTTAAGATGAATCACATTTCCTTGTTCCAATAGTCTATGAATAGTATCATGTGGCCTGCGATTTGTTTACAGGGTGCCTAGCAACCAAGGGCTTATCACATGAACAGTGGCATTAGCCTAGCATTGCCCTAGAAGAGTATATTCCTCTCAATTTGTTGGGTGATTTCGTGATGTATGCCTCTTTACTGGCGTATAG